GCTATGACTTCTTTTCATTCTTTTTGGTAGACAAATTAGATGAACATCAGGGGTCATCTTCCAAAGATGCAATCTAACTCATTTGTTCAAGTATAATCGGGAAAAGATGTACCAGTCGCAAGTTGATTATTAATCGGTATCATAAAATAGACCCAGAATAAAAATAAATTATTTATTAATCCGGATAATCGTGTCTGACCCATGATTTTTAAAACTGACTCAGAGGCCGAATTGGTTAGGGGTCCAGTTACCAGGTCGAACAGTCAGACCGTTCGAACTGAACTATCAGCGCATTCTGACAAAAAATAAAAATAATAAAAAAATAAAAAATGGTCAAAACTGTTCAAATGGTTTGGATGATTAACCGGCCGGATCAGCAGTTTGCTGACCAAAGGTTTTTAGAAAAAATCTGGTTTTGGGGAGAAAACAAAACCGATCACCTGACTGATTCCCAGTTTTTCCAATCTAACCATCCAATCTGATCCAATTTTAAAAACCATGATCTAACCCAACATCAATAATCACCTATGATAATAACAACTATAAACTTTAGTTTGCTTATATAACCTCAATATAAGTAACATGAAAATAGTTTGATAAAACAATATGCTGCCTATAAAACATACTACTTTTTAGACCTAAAATTTATCGCAATAATAATTATGCCGGAACCAATTCTTGCTATTCCAAACAGATTATACAATTAATAATATATAAAGGTCATATAGTTTTTTTATAATTTCTGTTTTATGGTTTATTTCCTCTCAAAATTTTTTTATTGATCGAGGGGGTGACTAGAAATGATGAGTCGATGAGGGTTGGGAATCTATCATAACCAAGAAAATGGTAGATCCATCCAGACATGAAAAGAGACTAGAGATGATGAACTCTAAGCTACAGGGGAAGACCGAATCTGATAGGCATGGCACATCCTTGTAAATACACCAAGTAAAGCGCTCAACAAGTATTCTAATTAGGAATGTCAATGGGTTGGGTTAAATGGTATATCCGCTTGAAAGGGTCGGGTTAGGGTCAATATATTTGGCTTTAGGGTCGGGTTAGGGTTTTGATTATTCAATTTAAATTGGGTTCAAGTTTTGACTGACCCGTCCCATCGGGTTATGATACCCTGCATATATATAAAAAGTATTCTTTTAACTTTTTTGACTTTTAACTCTATAGCTTTAAAGTTTAAGATTTATTTACATGTTGGTTTTGATTTTTTTCTTTTCTTTTAAATGGGAAAAGTGGCATCTTAGATTTTATAAAATAATTTCCTAACTTAAATTAATAGATTTTAGGTCTTCAAAACATGTTAAAAAATATAATTGAAATGCTACGGGTCAATTTGGGTCGGTATCAGGTTAGACCCTATATGATCTGGTTGGATTTGGAAATTATGTACTTTAAGATGGATCGGATTCGGGTTGATGTGCTACCCATGCCAAACCTGACCCATTGACATCCCTAATTCTGATTTCTGACAAATGTCTTAGAATTTTGTTAATCAATGTGCTTACTAAATGTGCTTATTGAGTGTGCCTACGGCTACCTGATCCTCCTGACTTTTATAGGGTTGCAACTTTTGTGGGGTAAGGTTGGGGTTTTGTCAAAATTTTAATGGATCAATCTGAAGCCAGAGCCTAAAACTGTGTAAATTATTGACTCAGGCCAATCCGACCTGCACCTCTAAACTTTTAAGGCTCACTTTAAAAAGATTGTAAATATAAATATATACAGTGTAAATACATGTTTAAAAATATAAAATACACGGCTTTGCACCTTACATAATTGCATTTGTACTCTTTCCAAAACAGCCGGTAGAAATTAGTGGTTTTTATGGGTTGAAGTTGAAAGTTGAGGCATAATTTGGAAGAAATACCGCAAATACAAATAAATACATAGAGTGAAAAACCTTATATTTTGTATGTATTTATACTTATACTCCTTCCAAACGATTGATTCTTAATTTCTTATGCAAACTATGCATACCAATGTTTTCCCTGGCAAACTGATTGGATTGAATTTGGATTGGGATGCATCTGTATGACTGTATCTATTTTTCAATATTGTATGACTGTATCTAGTATAAGGGAGACCTGAATTTTATTCAATATTTGACCATGTATGCAACATGTATTAGATATAGATATCTATTTTTCTCTTTTTTGGGGGGTGGTGTTACTTGAAATTTAATAAATATTTATAAAACAAGTATAAATCATAAAAGTTAATTATAAAATTGGTTCATATTTTATTATAAAACAAGTATAAATCATAAATATTCAAATATATATATATATATATATATTTGAATGTGACAAATGAAACAGGTTCAAAATTGGTTCATAGCAAAATTCAACCCATTTGCGGCCCTACTAAAAATTGTTATTATAACGGTTTCAGTTTTCACCTCCATAGATTTTGGTACTTCTCTTTGTTGCTTTTTCCAATATTGGACAGGTGGCGGTGATCAACTCATATTATACTTGAAGAGATACACATGATGCATATATTAGTGGGGAGAGAAAGAGTCCAACTAATGGTGGCTATGGCTCAGTTGGTAGGATCTCTCACTCAGGTCGTTGCAACAGAAACCTGTGATCAACTTCCCTCGCGAGCATATAGTCAACATTTTAAGATATTCGAATTCAATTTGATTATGTTGAATCTCGATTTTGAAATTAAAATTTTAAATATTATTAATATCTCTAACTATATAAGTGAATTTGTAAATATGATATATAAAAATTGAATTTATAAAAGCATTAGAACCAGAATGGATCATACATCCAAAATAGGTCAAATCCTGGGTTCACTCATTGATGTCGTAGTTAAAATGTATTAGCAAGTGACTTCATGAAATGCACGTGGTTGAATATAATTCTATTGCGTTTGGGTTGGTAAGTTTGGGCCTATATGTCAACTTGGGTCCAAGCCAAGGTACATGTCTATGGTTAGTTGGTTACTATTGGGTTGGCTCTTGACTCTTAACTCTTGACCTGATCCATCCATCTAATTTATACTGCTATTCAATTAAGAGAGAGGGGACGTTAAGAAAAATTAAAACTTAAGAAGTTTTATTGCAACTTCTGATACTTTTAATAATTTAATTTTGGGTAAAATACAAAAACCTCCCCTGAAGTTTCTGACAATCATAAAAACTTTTTCTATAGTTTTATTTTAACAAATACCTCCCCTAAACTTTTGAGAAATTCAACAAAAACCTCCCTTCCAATACTGTCCCATACGGAAAACATTAGATTGATGCACCTGTTTTTTCCAAATATCCATTTTACCATTTTATAAATTATTTTACATACAAACTTACTGAAATAATCCCATTTTAACTCAACAAAAAACATATTTCAGTAATTTTATATGTAAAATTACTGAAATGATCATTAAAATAGGTTTTTGTTGAGTTAAAATGGGGTTATTTCAGTAATTTTATATGTAGAATGGGTATTTGGAAAAAAACTGGTGCATCAATCTAACATTTTTCATTTGGGACAGTGACAGAAGGGAGATTTTTGTTGAATTTCTCAAAAGTTCAAGGGAGGTATTTATTAAAATAAAACTATAGGGGAGATTTTTATGATTGTCAAAAACTTCAAGGGAGGTTTTTGTTAAAATATGAAGCAGGTGACATGTGTGAGAAATGAAGGGAGAAGGAGGTATGTGGTGGTGAGAGCAAGGGTGCATTAGGTTGGTTTAGATCAAGTTGAGGTTGACCATAACCCAACCAAAGTTATTGAACCCCCAATCCTTATGCTAACCCAACCCAATGTTTTAGGTTAGGTTATAGTTGGCCCAATTTCTATAATTCCTTTTAACAAATGTACTTATTTCCTAGGTTCTAAGAATCATTTTGGGAAATTTGTAAATACAAATATATAGGGTGCAAATAAAATGTTTAGAAATATATACAAGGTTTTGCACTATGCATATTTGTATTTGTACTCCACCCAAATGGAGCTTTAAGGCTGTGTTTGGTTGCAATGCAAATTTATTTACACTAGCACAAATGCATAAGAGTGCAAATGTAAAAAAATGCAAATTTTTGTTTAATTTTGTTTTGTTCTGCTTCATGTATTAATTTACCTCATTTGTACTGCAATCAAACAAAATAAGCTAAAATTTGAAACAAAAATATGTCAGAATTTACACTCAAATTATTTATACTACCATGGTTTTGCATCAATGCAAATTTATTTGCATTGCAACCAAAGCACAGCCTCAGGCTCATGACAAATGACAACATTTGTATTTGCATTGTAATTGTATTTGCACACTTCCCAAACAAAGTATAAGGATTCATGTTAATTCAATTTTCATGTGATTATATGTAAAATAAAACTTAAAACTTGTTGACATACAATTATACATGATAAATAAATAGATACACATGTATTATACATAAATGCGCATACATACATACGTACTTGAATACAAGTTATTTTCACTTCTTATTTTTCTACATATTGGTCAGATTTGATACAAGTTATTTTTAAGTGAGAACTACATTCGGTTCGTTTTGTTCATGATAACGTTTTTGAATCGCCTTTAACTCGAATGGTCGGACCATTCGGCCTAGGAATCGTCTAGGCAATCGGTTATGTTTTATTCAAAACCCGATTTTGGTAAAAAATCATTGAAAAAATCAACAATTTGTTGATCCAAGTGGTCAAACCGTCAATTCGTTAACTTATTCAATGGTTTTAACCATTTTAAAATTTTTAAAATTTATTATCAGAATTCATTGGTCGAACTGTTACCTAAAAACTGGTGATCAGAACGGTTCCATTTTTGGATCATTTTTTAAAACGTTGGTTCATGATGTACATTATCAAAATACTTAACAAGTTGGTTATCTTTAGTTGTTAGTATATTAACGGTTTTCAATATCCGACTGCAATCCGAATTCGACACATTCGAATAGGATCCGAATATTGGTAACTCAGATCCATGCCTTGGTACATCCGATTCGATCCGATTCGTCTGTAACCCCATATGAACTCCAAATACTTGAAACTTCAACCGTCCGAGGGTTTACCATCACCATTCACCACTTCGTAATTCACATACTGAGGTTTATGCTTGAACTTGAAGCACTGAAAGTTTCGAATTCCGTCTTCGTTTTTCCAGTTGCTGCGAAACTTTGCTCATCCCGCAAGTAAAAAGTTTACAGGGTTCTGCGGCCTAACCTAAAACAAGATGCTCCTTCAGTTGCCTCGCTTGACGAATTCGCTGAGAGACCACTATGATGTCGATCAAGCCTACCTGCAACGCAAAACCATTCTCCAAAATCATAAACCTCAGAAGTACATTTCTCTTCCAGTTTCAACGGTCCTTCAATCTGATTTCAATATCGAAATACATTTTGAGCCAATTTTGCAGATAATTTTTATGATACACTTGCGTTGCTAATGTTACTTGAATTCCTGCTTGATTTCCCGTAATTCAGTTGATTCTGATTTCACTCTTCATTTTATAATTTTATGATTAGGTCTGGAAACTCTCTAGATGATTCGGAACTCGCGCGAACGATAGTTTATCGATGGGGAGAAGGTAGGAGAATATGGAATTATATACATGCTTGCGTAATTTCTTCTTCATTCCTGTTTTTACGGCCTTCTAAAAAAAATCCGTTTTTTTATTTATATTTATAATTTGTAATTTATCAATATGCCGTCCTTGGCTCCTAGTGCAGCTTCAACCGAAGTTCGTCAAGCATACCGACAATATCTTGGTGCGGTTGTGGAGTTGATCGATGGCGAAGTGGCACCAGAAGAATTTCGCGAAGTGGCAAAAACCGTTTATGATATTTTTTGCAATCCAGGAGAACAATGCGAAGACAGCAAATGGATTGCAGAGAAGAAGTAAGCATTTAGTAGCATCTGAACTGTTTAAACTTTTATCTTTGATGAAAACCGTTGTTTTACTCGTGCAAAATGCAGTTTTCTAGATTTCGCGTTGTTCTAATTTAATACGTTTAATGCAACTGAAACAACATATAGTTAACCTCAAAATGTACATTGGATTTTGCATATTTCAGGGGAGAGCTGCAAAAGCTTATCGGATTTTCTGTCTCAGATGCTAATTTGCGGAAAGCTGCTTTGCTGGCTCAAAGGCTTTACGCTATGCAGCCTAGTGACCGTGATGTTGCAGCCGTCCTGGAAAAGAAAACGGAAGGAAGGGGAGATAGTTTAATTGAATTTGGTAATGATCTTCCTTTCCACGAACCGACTAGGTTTCTGGCGGATGTAGCTTTGGAGAACGAGGAATTACTGGATGATGAGATCCCTGGGACTGCTAGTTCACTTCAGGAAGAATGGTATGGCTATGCTGATGCTACACATCAACATTCTGATATTGACAGGGGAACTGTAAATTTGAGATGGTTAAGGGATGCATGTGATCAGATAGTGAAAGAACGAGGTTCTAAACTTTCAGCAGATGAATTAGCAATGGCCCTTTGTAGGGTGCTCGATTCAGACAAACCTGGTGATGAGGTACTTTAGCTCATCTTTTCTGAACTGCATTGTGCATTTCAATACAGTTCCACATATACATACATGTGCATGCTACAGTATCATTGAACATATGATCTTACTGGTTTTGATTACTGTTGTTAAGATAGCTGGAGATCTGTTGGATCTTGTTGGTGATAGTGCATTTGAAACTGTTCAAGATCTTTTATTGGTAAGATTTCTGTTATGGAAGATCGTATTACTTGTGTTAAACATAATGTTTTGTTTCTTTAGGTTCATTTTTATTATCCATGTTCTAGGATATTTTCCACTTATTTTTATAGCATTTTTTTTTAAAATTTTTGTCAATGTCCCTGTCTTTCTCTTTCTCCCTCTCTCTGGTTAGTGATAAATAAGTTACTTTGTCCTGGAGAAGGAAACAGAAAATCCCAATTCAAGAGATTCCATACCTAACAGCTTGGCAACCAAGCGTTAATGATGAGGGGAAGAAAATGCATCTACTGAAGTAACAGGCTTTTCAAATGCTAATAGATTCTATGAAAACAATAGAGCCCTCTGATGTTTCAAATGCCATTAGGCAGACTAAATTTCCTAAAACACTTAAGGTTCCTAACTCAACAATGTCTCAAAATAGCACCAAATGGAACTCCTTAACCACATTCTCAACTTGGCTCCATGCGATACCCAAACCCCCAGCATACCTTATTTAAATTTGGGAGTGAGATCTTCTTTATTTGCACCATTTGATCATAGATGCCTGGTCTGTGATTGGTTGATAATATGTTCTGAATGGACATGATTTCATATAACTGCTAGCATAGTTTTCAAGGTGACACCTAGGTGACAAGGCGCTCAAGGACGGTCACCTTGCTTATTCACCAAACTAATTTGTAAATGCACTATGAAATACTTTTGTATTCTTAATTTTTTGAAAATGTAATTATAAAATAAACATTCCGAAACTAAAATATTCATTTTGTGGGTTTATATACTAATTTCTTTTTTACTATTTTCTTATTTGTTAGGGTTCAACCAACACACATGTTGTTGTTTGCTATTTTGAACCCTCAATGACTTAAAAATCTGAACCAATAAGCTAAAAAGAACTTAAGATTTTGTCCAATAAACACATTCTTCTTCTTCTTCTTCTACCTTTTCTTTTCTTCTTTTCCTAGGACAAGAAGCAGGGGCTAGCCCCTATATTTTCTGAAATTTATCTTCTTTCTTATTTTTCTTCTCATAAATATGTTGGTTTTCTATATTTGAATATGAGGTTTATACTTTTTTTATGAAAATTATAGATAATTATTAATTGACGATGCTAATTGCAATGGAACTTAGGAAACTATCATAGGATTCATTTTTTTTTCATTTAAGAAAATCCACCTAGGTGGATTTTTAGAGAAAAGGAGAGAACAAAAGAGGCCATGATTGAATTAATTCTGATTAGAGCGGCTCAATGGCTGAAATCCTTAGGAAACTTCTCACATATATCCATTGATGATATCATTAGAAACTGGAAAATAGTGGCAGATTCATATGTCAATGAGCATCTTGTTATTCCTGTCTGGACCCTTCCTGAAAGAAGATTTATAAAGCTTAATTTTGACGGCAGTAGCATGGGAAACCCAGGAAGGTCAGGAATTGGAGGTGTATTCAGGGATGAGGAGGGTAAAGTGTGTGCATTATTCTCAGGCCCAGTAGGTGAAGGAGACTCACTAAGAGCGGAAGTAATGTCAGTTATGGAAGGAGTGCAATGGTTTACAACCATGAATGCTAGAAAGCTAATCATTGAAGGGGATTCTAAACTGGTAGTGGCTTGGCTACTGGATGAGGAAAGTAGGATGTGGAAGTATAATAACGAGAAGAAAAAATTCAGATGGATCACAAAGGACATGGAACTGAGAATACAGTAGGTGAAAAGAACAGCTAATTCAATGGCTGATGCACTGGCCAAGCAAGGGGTTGGGAGAATTCAAACATTTTGGGCACTACTGTAATTGTAATTATAACTAAAGTTAAAGGGGAGAGATAAGAGAGCTTGTCTCTTTCTCACTTTCTCTTGTACACTTTCCTTAAAATTCAATGAAGTAATCAGTTATTCATCAAAAAAAAAAAAATCCACCTAGGTGACAAGGCGCCTCCCTTGTTGCATAGGCTCGCCTTGGTGCCTTGAAAACTATGACTGCTAGACATGCTTTCATGTATGGAGGAAGTTTTGCTTGTCTTAGAAATTATATTTAGCTGTATTGTTTTTTTCCAGCACCGGAAGGAACTTGTTGATGCCATCCATCATGGAATGCTTGTACTGAAATCTGAGAAAATGGCTTCAAGTGTCCAATCACGAATGCCCAGCTATGGAACACAGGTACGTAGGTTTTACATTAAAGAGAAACTATTTTCATTAGCTTACCGGTTCATTCATCTAAAGGACTTAATGAGTCCTTTAAAATTCACACCCATTCTTCTTCATCCAGGTTACCATCCAAACTGAATCTGAACGACAAATTGATAAACTTCGACGCAAGGAGGAAAAACGGCATAGACGTGGGACTGAACATGAGGCTGAGCATGACTTGTCTGCAGGAAGTTTCTCTTCCTTAATTCAAGCAAGTGAATGGAAGAACCCCATTGATTATCTGATTGGAAATGGCCAAGGGCCCCACTCGTTACCAGTAAGTGCTCTTCCTCAAGGAACTGTGAGGAAGCATTTTAAGGGCTATGAGGAAGTACGAATTCCACCCACACAAACTTCACAAATGAAACCTGGAGAGAAGCTGGTAATTTCTATTTTTTAGCTGTCCTTTATTTGATTCAGGTTAACATACTTGTTGGCTTTTATGGTTTATGAGCTAAGGTTTGAAAGAAAGTAGCATTTAATTTAGGTTACTTGACTGTGATTTCATTTGGTACAAACTAGGCAAGGTTTAGAAAATTTATAATTTCCTAATAATTCCTAATTAAGTGTTTTCATTTCCGTGGGTTTTGACATATAAAATATACCAAACATATTTCCCAATCTTAGACATAATCCCTATTGTTTTAACCAAACCTTACTTTCTTAGATAGCACACAAATTGCAATTTTCTGATGTATTCCCTTCTTTTAACTGATTATGGCAAAACCAACTCGTTTTTAGATGTTTTTTTTCATAGTAATCTCATTTTAAATGTTTGGGTTAAGTTCATTGGATCAGAAAACAAGAACTGAGTTTGCATTGCTTAAATAACAGAACATAACTATAAAGAAAACCTAGATTTTAGGTGAAGCCATGGCCTATAATGTTTTCAGCTGAGGAACTTAGTGGTCAAATTCAAGTGAGAAATGATAGAAAATATTATGGTGAGGAACTCATGTCCTTGTATCTTCATCTTTAATTCTCTGCACGTACTGTCGCACACCAGGTTGCTCCCATTAGCTACGTGCACCCAGAAGGCTGTACATGGTTGGACCGGAATCCCTAGTTGTCTGACCAATGTTTGGGTAATGAAATTGAGGGTGCT